GCGCAGGATGGGCTCAAATAAATAGAAACATGGTGTAAGAAACACTCACTCTCGATTAGGTGATCCCAAGAAGACTGGGATGGTCCTTTTCACCAGGAAAACAAGTTTATTGGGCTTAAAACCTCTCGAAATCTTCAAAAGTAAACAAAACATCTCTGAAGAGGTGAAATACCTTGGTACTGTCCTCGAAAGGAAGTTAACATGGAACTCTCACCTTCAGAGTAGAGCAAAAAGCGCATATGTGGCTTATGAGCAATGTCGGAGGACAGTGGGGCGTGCATGGGGTCTTTCACCCCGTGTGGTTGCCTGGATCTACACTGTAATATGAAGACCTATGTCAACATAAGCAGCCATTGCATGGGGACCGGAAGTTCTACAAGCAACAGCCAACCAAAAATTATATCAAAGAGAGCGATTGGCTTGTATAAACATCACAAGAGCCATTAGGACAACACCAACCGCGGCAATGGAATTAATTACTGGTCTAACCCCTCTGAACCTGTACGTTAAAGAGGTTGAGTTGATGGCCATGTTTCGATTGCGCACGGCTGGTGTAAACTTCGAAGTAGGAATGGTTCATTTGAGGCTGAGCCTATGGCGAGAAGCATTTACTGCGCAACATCTGCTGCAGGCAACTAGTGGTGCAATTGAACCCAGGTTTGTATTCAATAAACCCTACAAAATACAAATAAAATAGAACACAGAGTCAGATGCTACAAATGCAATACGCATATATAAAGACGGCTCAAAAATTAAAGAAGGCTCAGGATGTGAAGTGTACTCCAGATCACTAAGCCTAAGGATCAAGTGAGGAATGGGAAAAAAATCTGCGAGGTTCAACCAGAACGGGCTGATATCCCAATCGCCGCAAAAGAAATAACCAGGAAAGGAATCATGGGAAACGCCAAAAAAGGAAAAAGGGAAAATAGATACAATCAAAACATCCCCGAAGAAATATAGACTGATTTTTTTTCATCATACAAACTGACAAGAAATCCTTTCGAAACAACCACTTCCACATAAATATTGATACATGAAAGAACAATTTCTTTCGAAACAACTACTTCCATATGGAAAACACGAAAATAACTTCTATAGATAAGCAGTATGAAAAATTTTACAATGATACAAACGCTGAAAAGTAATATGAAATGATATTATATAGATAATATAAAAGAATATTGATATGAAATGTCACTTCCAACTGACTCTATTATTAGCAATGGTGTACTTCGAAATTTCAGGACATGGCACCTATCATATCCGCACTGTTTTGGATAACATTTCAAGACAAACACTCATTTATTTCATAACATTACGTCTTCATTCCACCGAAAAAAAATCCGCCCTGGTCTCGATCACCATGCTTATTTTTTTCACACAAAATTAATATCCACTGAAAGTTTACCTTCTTCAACTCAAATTGTACAAATTCAATACAAGCGCTTTCAACAGTCACCACAAATTCATTATTTTCCCTCGACGCACGTTTAACCAATCCAGTTGGCATCTTCAGGACATGAAGACGCCAGTTTTCTTCATCACCTTGTTGGTGAAACTCGCGTCGAGAAGAGTATTTCTTTTTTTGCTTTTAGGAAAAGTATTTGTTGTGAATTTATTCTACCCCAATAGTTCTAGTTTCAACATCCATTATATTGTATGATTTCAAAAAACAGCATTTCTCACACGATGATCAAACGAGTTGTACACTATAATTTCACTGCCACCGCACAGTTCTACCATCAATATGAATAGTTTACGTAAAATGGAAATTCTACAATATTCATATTTCTTTCTACTTACTTTCATATATAAATCAATCAATTACATATCAGTTGGAAACACTTTCAAATGTTTTCAATAGAGTTATTTTATGCCAAAGGTTTCATTACGAACTAACTAATTGGATATGTTCGAATATATTATCAATGGGAGAGTTGATGAATGTACAAACGTTGGTAGTGGTCAAAGCTTAGTTTTGAAAATTGTTGGCTTTCATTTCGTTACAACTATTTGTTTTTTTTTTCATTATTATTTTTGGCGTATAATTTTCCCTTTTCGCTTTGGGACTGATTTCAGTTCATATAGTCGTCAATTTTGATATTGTTGTCAATGTTTAGAGTAGCTTTAAAAACGATAAACCTTATATGTCTTGAATAATTTCTCAAGGTGAACCAACACAACTGATTTATTGATTTTTGAATCTTACCACTGCTAATACTTTTCGTATGCTGCCTTAAACCTATATTTGGTACTAGCTTCAGATTTTTGACTTTATTTTTCATTTCAGGAGGAGTACATTCCAATTCACTATCATTTTTCTTTTGAATACAATAATAATAATTTTCGACAGTACGCAGACTTGAAAATACTTGTGACGGGCTAAAAAAAACAGATAATAATCTGACAATCGGGCAGCCGGAAAATATCGCTTTCTCGATACAGGTCAAGCCATCGTTTGTTAGCGCTTTAAAAATTGCTTTAACAACGAAATACGAATGTATGGAATAATTCTCAAGTATGCCCTATTTGTCAGTCTCGACTGTGCAAAAAAATTCACGAAGGTGGAACTTTTGGGACTTGTTTCTGTTTGTGGATTATTGTTTCATAGCAGTCGTAGTAAGGGTGGAATTTTAGTATTAGATACTGACAGTGTCTTCTAACGTAGTACAAAGTTAGTACAAATTCAACTCTGAAAATCTTATATATATATA